CAGTGCCTGCCCCAGCCCCTGCCTCACTTCCTCCCTCATCGCAGGTGGTGTTGATTTGCCCCCCACACCCTTTTCTTCCCCCTTCCTCTTCCACCGCAAGAGACTTACCAGCTGTATGCAGCTCTCCAAGCTTCCGGGCTGTGCTCCTTGCTGCCTATGTGCTGCTCTTCAGCTGTGCGTAGACACAGGCATTTATCGGCCAAATTATTGGCCACATCAGGCTGATTTCCGGTACACTCAACTTTCTTTATATTGGTGCCGATCTGATGTTGGACTAAAGCATCAGTTCAGCTCTAAGAGATTCATTTTAGCAGGACTAAGTGCATGAGAGTTTACTGGAGGATCACTTTCCAAACATCTGCAATATTTTGACATACTTTGGTATTAGCTATAAAAGACATCAGATTAGAAATGTGTTCAGTTAGTTTGAAATTGCTGTTTTATGTGACAAAATGCTCCTTATGCAAACTGAGGCCACTTGAAAGTTGTGGACATCCATGGATATCTCTTCCAAATAGATTTTAGGGTTTCACTTCTTTCCTTCAGTATAATGGGAATATGATATTTTTCAATACAGTTAATTTGAATTAGTTTACATATATTTTATTCAATTATTTATGATATTTCTACATGAGCATTTTAATTATTCTCTAGATTAATTAACTTTCCTTTGAATTTTCCACTAGATATTTATCTTTTAATAAAGACCTTTTGAAATTCTTCATAAAATATTCAGATTATATTTACCTACAGAGTTAAGCCTGTGCATGAAGTGTTACTTTATTTGCATCCCTTGCCAAATATAAAGTTACAGTATACCTTTTAAATATACATGGCTTAAATTATTATTAATGTCTAATTGTATATATTTTTTTTAATACAGGTATCAAAATTCCATGGGATCAGCCAAAAATGCCTTAAGTGAACCTGTTGATGTTGAGGAGGGTGTTAGTACAATGGTAAGTCAACCATCTAGTACAACAGTGTTTTAAGATTTTTCTTTATTAAAAGGAAAGAAATATTGTGTTACTGGTTTACAGTTTTTCTTCTTGTTATTGTAATGGTATAGCTTTTTCAGTTGGGTGTAGTCTGATGTTGGAAGGGACTTCAGGTGATTCTGTGTATTTTCTGTAAGGATGAGGAGGCATTTTAAAATGGGACAGATATTTTAATGCCAACCTAATGATTCATGACATTCCGGGCCTATAAACATTTTCATATAGCATACATATTTTCTTATGGGAATAAGTCACCTATCTCGTGTAAAAATATTTAGGGCATGGTTTTGAACCAGATTGTGTTCCACCAGGTCTTCCCTTGGTAGCTTTAAATTAGGATACTATACTTGAAATGAAAATTATGTTGTTCATCCTCATTGCAAAGGAGTAGAAAACCGTTTATTTAATGCCTGGGGGACTGGGAGTACCTACATCACACTTCAATACTTGCCTCTGGCCTGTGGTAAGAGCAGTACTGATATAAATTATGGAAGGAGCTGCATTGATTCTTTTCTGAACAAAGAGAGAAAGACCTTTTAGTGAAGGGTCTTTTGGGCAGAATGAGTAAAAATGAAGAGGAGGAGGAAGAGAATGATCTTGGTGATTCCTGAGTTTTTAGGTTTCTGTATTGTTTGCAGAACTCATGCATTTTGCATATCTGTATTTTATACTAAAATATGAAACCTCACTTGACGCTTGTCAGTATTATGGTTTGAATTGAATCTGGCCATGGAAGCTTTGCTGTTGATTTTGAAAGGTCTGGGCTTTAACTAACTTTGAGTGAGTATATATTACTATCATGTTACATAAAATGTGCTTGTTGAATTAGGTTAACTTGTCAGTCTCCACAACTTCTTGTGGCTATGAGTTTAGCAAGTTAATTGCTTACTGTGTGAAAAAAAGAACTTCCTTTGGTTAATTTTAAACTTACTACCCAATAGTTTCATTTTACTTCTTGTAGTTCTAGTATCTTGAGAGGAGTAAATATTAAATCTTTATTTACTTTTTTTGAACCATTCAGTAATTTGTAAACCACTATCGTATCCCCCAGACTTCTCTTTTTGAAGATTAAAAGTGTGAGAAGAATGTATTTTCCAGCTGCCATGTACATTTATAGATGGCGTTTTATTCATTCTGTGTTTTACATTACAAATAAATGATTGTAAATTCCTCTCCCCAAAACCTAGAGTTGAGCCAAGAGATTGAATCATTGGTGAACCAAGAGATTGATTAGCAGAACTGGGTGAAGATATGGAAGAGGTCTCTGTTCGGTAGTGAGTTAAGAAGCCATTCCTCTGTGCAGTATGGTGGTAGGAGTAAAATGGATGAATAGGAGTGGAGATGGGCTGCAAAAACAGAGCAGTATGCTTCCCTTGTGGCTTCCAGAATCTCTCTAAATTCCTTTACAATCAGCAGCTGGATTTGAAACTCTAGTGGCTAGCTGACAGTTTCTCAATTAATTCGGTTAAGAAGGGTTTGTGCTGTGGATTTAAAAATCCCAACCTGCTAGGTGGGCTCAGCCTGAAGCCACATATTTTATTTTTTTTAGTATTCTCTTTAATAAAAAATTAGGTTACTACAATAAAATAATCTATGTTAAAAGGTATTATTAGTTGTACAAAGTTAAGTATTGCAAAATTTAGGAAATGTCAGAATTAAGGTCATATCATGTGAATTTGGAATGTGTGTAGCAAATGAGCTAAGCAGTGCAGAGCCATGCTGAGGCCAGCTGCTTCTTTGCTGCTGCTGCTTCTCCCCTCAGGCCCGTAGCTTCCTTCCGGCTGTGGCCTGTGTGCAGCTTTCACCTGGAAGTTGCATCCATATTGCTGCTACTTCTCCTCCCTGGCTCATCTGCTGCTTCTTTTCCTTCTCATCTCCACCTCCCAGCTACACCGCTGTCCACTTCCTCCACCTGCCCTCACACTTTCTGCATGCTAGGATTGGGCCCTGGGGCTCCTCGCACTCCAGGGAGCCCCAGGACCAGGCCTCACACCGCCCTGTGTCCAATGGAGCATGCAGAGCACAGAGCTCTGCCCTGGTCTGGAAATTTAGCGGTTAGGGGAGTGATGCCACTGCTGCCTTGCTGCCAAGTTTTTAAACCCATGGGAAATCCTGTGGGCTGGATTACATGGCGCTGGGGGCCAAATCTGGTTTGTCGCCTAGGGATTGAGAACCCCTGGTGTATATAGTTCATTGAATGAAGTTGGGGCTCTGGAAAATGAATAGTATGTGACTGTGCAGTTAAAGACTATGTATAGTGATGCATATGAACAAGGGGTCCAAAGCATACATCCACAGGAAAACTGAATTGTAGCATATTTTATATTTTCAATTTGAATATATTTTTACATATTTCTTTAAATGTATTTAGAAATATGTTGAAGAGTATTGAATTATATCAGGTGTATAATGTGTCAGGGCGTTTTTAAGCTTCCCTCAGAGGCACTGGGTGTTGGCTGTAGTCAAGGCTACAGACGTGGACTGGGCTGTGCCAATTCTGCTGGAACCCAAGCTGGAGGTTCCTGGCTAGAGGGTTTTGCTTCCTCTACTCAGGATCAGACTGATTGCCATATTTGTGGTCAGGAAGGAATTTTACCCCATGGTCGTATTTGTACGAACTGTGGGGGCTTTTGCCTTCCTCTGTAGTGGGAGGCATGGCCCACTACCTGCGATCTCTTGAGCATGTAGTGGCAGGATTTCATTCTAGCAGGACATTAGCAGCCATGATTCTTGTGCTTTACCTGGGGCAGTTTAGGATGTTAGGTCTGTGTTGTGTCCGGATCAACAGGAGTCTTATGTAGGGTTTAGATTATGGATTGCATAGGATGGTTTGGATAGGGATAATCCTACTTTAGGCAGGGGGTTGGCCTAGATGACCTCTGGAGGTCCCTTCCTGCCCTACTTCTCCTTAACTGTAATCACAAAATATTGGTTGTTGTATCTGAATCAGTTTTTGACAAATCAGGCAAAATAAAAAAAAAAATGTAGATTTGTTTGTTTGTTTGTTTGTTTTTTGCTGTAGTGGCTTAGAGCTCCATTGTGAAATATAATGGAAAGGTGAACCAGAAGTGCCAATTATCTCAGTACTTGGAGGGAATAACAAGGTGTTACGTAAATGAAACTGTGGTTAGCAACAGCTATTTAAAAACACAGTGATATTTCCTTCATACCTGAATACTGTGATTGTCCTTTGATGAACTCTAAACTGAAAAGCTAATACAAACAAAGTTGATACTATCAGCAATATGTGGACAGTTTGATTAGTTATGCAAAGATAAATTGGTTATGGAGATACCACTGTTATGTTAGCAGAAATGTTATCTCCTATAAACTTTGTGGAACAAGTTTAATTATGATATATAATAGAGGGGAAATATGCTAATAAATTTTATTTCTATGATGTAGGTATATTTTTACTTTCTTCCTTTGATTAAATATTGTTCAGATTTGTTCATTTTATTTATTCAGCAACAGAATAGGTATACTTTTTAGTGAAATATTTTACATTAAATTGTATGAAACTTCAGAGAAGTAACCAGCCTACTTAATTTATAAACATTGAAAGTAAAATTAAAAAAGAATGAAATACCTTTCTAGCCTAGAGGATGCATTGTTTATGTCCTTCTGATTCCCTTTCTGAAGGTAGAACATAGTATTCATTTCATGTTTGATACTTTTGTATTATCACATATACATGTATTAATTTTTTAAAACATACTTCAGTTTAATTATAAAATTTTCTATGTTGTTTTATATCTAACAACTTGCTAGATTATATACAAAGTTTAATATAATGATGGAAATTGTAAAATTATATTAAATGAGATTTTGATGCTAGATTTAGTTGTGCAGAAAGTGATTTTTTTTTTTTTCCTGAAAGCAAAAGATTAAGTCCCTTCTGAGTTCTCTTATAGTTGCTGCTAATCAAAATTTACCAGGCTAATTTGGCAACTTCAGGTTATCCTGAGCTTTATAAACTTCATCTGGACCTAGATACTGCAAAACTGAACAACTGCAGTGCTGCAGCGTTTATAGTATTTAAATTGGACTTTGAAAGTATTTTTAAGTTGCATCAAAAGAAGATTCAATTTTTAAAAAATTGGCTAAAAAAATTGTAATTCCACGGTAAAATATGTATGAGCAAGATGAAAGTGTTGAGTATACATGTAAAATATTGTTATTGATATTACTGGAGTGCTGTTTGTCATTTGGCAGCATTCCATTAGGGTCTACCTCAATTTGGCACACACCAAAATGAGATCTCCCAGAAGAGAATTTTCTTGGCAAGAAACCCATAAGCATCATGGGTGGGGAGGAAGGAAAAGCATGGTAGGAATACTAGCCAATTGCCTGTCAAGAACAACGGGGCAGCTGGGGGCAGTGGACTGTGTCCAGCCTGACTCCCCCCACCTTGGAGGCCAGGGCCCCGCCCCCTGTCCGCTCTGTCACCGCTGTCTGCTGGTAGGGTGAAGACAGAGGCCTGGGGCCAGGCTTGCTTCTCCCACCCTTGCCCCTGCCGCTTCGGGGCCAGGGCCGGTTCCCCCACCCTCACCTAGAGGGCTGGCGGGGCCAGAGCCCAGCATCTGGCCCTGCACCCCCACTCCTGTCGTCCAGC